ATATAAAATCATAATTTTAAAAAAGTATAGCACGGTGAGCGTTCCCCAAACTCAGCTTTGTGCTGAATATCTGCGCCAGAGTGGAATGTGTTAGATAATACGGCATCCTTCAGATCTTTGAGTTTCTAAATTTGTACGAAAATTATCATGAGTTTATTATAGTTATTGCTACAATAATCGAATGAAGAAATTATGGTTGTTTTGTATTATCTTTGCAGTATCCAAAAGCTACCTTAACTTGTACAAAACTTCTACGACACAGAGTCATAATTTCATGCCTGTTGAGGTGCACATACTCGATAGAAACTAACTTTACAAAGACAGATTAGTTTACTTAAACAGAAAGCCAAAATTAATTATAAGCCTATTATAAGCAAAGCTTGTTTAGACTTATGTCACAGCACTTTGTAGCTCGCTAATCAACGCCATAAACCTGGTCGTTTTTTTTATTATAATTGTCCATTGTCATTACAAGTGATCGAGACATATGTCAGCAGAATAGACAGGTATTTGTTTACAACCCAATTATCCAGGCATTTTATGGACTATTCTGCCTCGTTTTAAAAAAAACGCTGCTAATCAGTTTTTGGATTACGATTATCCCTCTGCCGTAACAGCTTTTGAATGTAAACACGTACTCCCTAATCAAACAACCCAGCAATATGCTCTTTAGTAGTCAGTGATTCCAGAGCCTGACCAGAAATGAGAAGATCGAAGTCCATAGTCGTGTCATATTTGGTCTCGATGACATAATCCGATTACCTCACCACGTGAACAGCACAGATGTAATTGTACTCTCTCTATTACCCTTATTTTCATTCATTAATTTATTCCAAGAACGACACTATATGAATAAAGTTTCTAAAGTCTGCTAAATACATGTCTTAAATATTTTCCGCGAAGCTGCGCTGAACCTACTAGTTGATATTTCATGCAGATGTTTATCACTGATGGTTTGAATTATGACTGCTTACACGTGCCTCCTCTGTTTGGCGCTTGGCGGACACACCTTCGTGATTTCTCCAACCTACCCGTAAGGTTCTCGATTTGTTTTGCTCAACCTCTATACAAGCAGGGCATGGCAAGCTTGTGTTCATATAAAAAATACAGTTTGTTTTCTATTATATCAACAAGCCTACCTTCTGATAATCGCAACATATTTATGGCCCGTTGCTGTATCGTCCGCGGAAATATTAGTAGTAGTTGTAGCTCGTATTGGGGGCGTGTCTATATAAACCTTAAACATATCATTACAGGCCCTTCTCCCGCACAATAAACTACATGTAACCAGAAGCAGATTCTTAAAGGTCGTGCTATAGACCCGTTCTATTGCTAAATTTTTCAGAAATTACGTGCAGATTATATAGGCCAAAATGTTCTTTTTGAATATCGTTGCTGTGTATTACGTTTTTATACTTAATAACGACTGAACTCATTTGCGCCTTTGATAAGGTTCTGTAGAAAATTGCACCGACATTTGCAGAATAAGTGTAGCTATTTTTCGCTGCCCCATACTCATTGCTTCGACAGAAAACCAAAACATAGATAAAGGTTGTTGAGCAAATAGCCGGCAAAGCACTCAAGGTTAATCAGATCGGATTAATGATCAAAAACTGCTACGAAACCGCACTTCTTTTTGCGGTTGAGTTCTTCGTTTACTTCGTTTCCGCTATCCTGTTTCCTACCTCATATTTAGCGTTGGCACTTTTTTTGGACAAGATTAGTCTCTCTCGCGAGTGGTTACGACCAAACTTGCAACAAACCATAGACCACTACGAATAGTGACAATAATAACGATAATATAAACACACATGAATATCAAGGGCAAACCTTTACCACCTAATCGCCGCCGCTATCATATTCCAGCTGCTCTTTTCCCATTTTTCTTATTCTTCTGCCTGCCCTAGCTCAGTATTCGAACAAGCCTTACTCATAGAAGAGCCTCTTTGATGAAATACATAAGTGTTTATAATGTAATTGTTTAGCTACTCTTGGCTAAGTGTAGCGCTGCGTTGCTTATTGATGCCGCTGAAAGAACGGTTGTGCGGTAGTTCCACTACCGGCTCATGGAAAATCGTCTAGAGGAACTACTGAAAACGTTTCGGGGCCTATATCAGAGCGCGTGCACCACTTCCTGTTCGATATTCTCGGTCGAATAGGCCCGCCGCCGCTGCCATCGTCAGCGCTAAGCATGGCAACAATAGCGACATTGAAGCAGTGCTCATTTTGGACTCCGTAGTCGAGTGCGTGCAGCAGCAAAAGCCGTAGCAGAAGTGCCGAGATGCTGTTTACCAGAGATAAGGAGAGCCTGAAATTTATAGCTGTCGGAAAGAAATTGAGGGAGCTGCCAAATGAGACACACCGTTTTTCCACCGTATGTTAGCTTAATATGTTATTAGTATTATCATTGTGATGATGATTTTGTCTTGCGTGCTGTATTGGCCTGCTTTTGCCTATTATCCGCTAGCGAAAAATCACCGTCTATGTGTGTGCGTGTGTGTCGGCTGGTTTCTACACGAAGATATATATTGGCTTTGAGAGGGCGAAAGATTAGGATCATTAAGAGAATAAAATATAATGATTTGTCGCCGCTCGTCCGACCCAAATAGTTGCAGGAACGTCTGACCGACCAAGCGGCTTATTTATCAGCTCTATATATTATATATATATATATATACATACATATGTATACATGTGTAGATATGCCTTCTACATTTGGCCACATCCATGAAGAGCATCACTGGCCAGTGCAGTTGAAGTGGGTCGGATTCATTACCCTTGAGACCCATGTGCTTTGTTTTATAGAAAGAGTGAAGACTGCGAAAGAAACGTGATGCGGCCTGGTTGATCATAGGGATTATTGCGCTGTTAAATCGGCCAGACGTATAAAAACAACCTACTACTGACAAATGTAATGTATTATAGATTAGCTCGAAAGGAACCCCTGGAGGAAAACTCAGTGTATATATTGCATGAGAACTGAAACAGAAACTGCATGAACGTATGGCTGGGTCGTGTGGCATCATCATTTAGCGATGCTACTTAAAACAAGTTGAATTCTCATTAAACGGTCATTGCATTTCTATCTAAAGGATACGTCGACCTCTGAGTGATGACGGCCGATCAGTGGAAGAAGTACACCGACCAGTCTGTCTTTAAAGATATCATTGTTATGTCGTCTGATAGTTAGCTGATATTTTGGATTGAAAAAAACCTCCGAGCATCAGAGCAGATGACAACAATTAATACGTGTTTCAATGGAATGATTTATTTCAGGTGATATGTTTCTCTTGTTGAAGAGGTATGATAGACTGTACGTGGAAAACAAAGTTACCCAATACCCCTCTTTGTACGACTTTATTCACGCGACATTTGAGAACGAATCGGACAGTGGTGAATAAATAGTTCTTTCAGAATACGAAAATTTAAAGCGGATCCATATTCTATGCTTTGTCAAGACCGAAGGGATAAGTTAGCTAAGCTAATAATTAGATATCTTCATCGTATAGAAGTCTTGTCTAATGATTTTGTTTCGAAACATCTATTGCAACCCCGTCGTCCGAGACAACTGTATAGCATAGGCCGCAACCGGTCCTTATCTTATATTTAAGGTGTTAAATGTCGACTGCGAAAATAATTCTATGCAAATTAAAGTTCGAATAAAGAACTTGTTCCTTATTTCGAATTGATGAACGAAATACTGTTTTAGGACAATAGACAGAAATTGCTCAAATAAGAAAGCCAATAGATATAACTAGAGTAAGTATTTAGGTACATTTATGTAAACTGAACGTGAATCTGGCCTAGAAATCAGGATCTGAAACAACAATTGAAAAAATATTAAATGCCATAAGCTTTACTATTATTATAACTTTCTGTTAGTGGTAGTTCGTCATCGATCAAAGTCCTATTTTATTTAAAAAACGGATAGGTGAAGTGTTATTAAAAGGGCGCATACAGTTACAGCGTACCGCGGATCTATGTGTTGCTTGTTAATATCACTAAATACATCGTAATAATGTATTAAGTGATATAGACAAATTAAGAAATAGATGTAGCTAAATGAATGGAAAATATGTATTTGAATAAATAAGTTATTCTGCTGTCTAATATCATTTATTTATTGTTATCATCATTTCTATACACGTAGTACTAGAAAGCTTGAAGTAAATAGAGTTGCCCAATTTATGTATATATACATATACATATATATATATA